AATACATTTCGATAAAAATGTTATCGCATGAAAATAAAAAGTTTATCACAATTTCAAGTAACAGGACCCAGGGTTGTTGCACTGGACGCCAGTGGCCCCCCGCCCTCCCCCCTTGAAATTTTTTTTAATTGAAATTACACTAAATGCTTGAATTGCTTTAATTATGGTGGGGGAGGGCCAAAAATTAAAAATAGCCTCCCCTTGATGTTTTATCAAAACCGTCACTGCTGGAAGCTTAAATTATGAGAACATGATATTATATACTAACACAAATATTTATTTATTAAATAATTACAATTTTTTTTTTATTTTCATCTTTTGAAACCTCGTCCTCCTCCTCCTCGTCCACTGCCACCACCAAATCCTCGTCCGCCACCAAATCCTCTTCCTCCACCGCCTCCGCCACGTCCGAAACCACCGCCTCCACCACCACGTCCAAAACCACCGCCTCCGCGACCACCACCTCTACCACGTCCAAAACCACCGCCACCGCGACCGCCGCCACCTCTACCACGTCCTCTTCCGCCACCGCCTCCTCTACCTCTTTGGCCACCAGGTTGAGGTAAAAATTTCTTCAATGGCAATAGTTTTGCTGGATCAATGTATAACTAAAATATAAAACAACTTAATAATATATGATTGTACCTATTAGGTAATAGCTATAAAATTAACTTTACCTTGTCCGCTCCTTTGAATGATTTTGATTTAATTTCAGAGTTTAACTTTATGGAGACAAAATAATCACTATATGTGCCAAATATTTCATCTATTTTTCCAATTTGTTGTTTATTAGCAAAATATATGGGTGCATTAAAGTATGGAACATCTTCCATTTCAGCCTTGCAAATAATGTCATCTTGACACGCATGAGTAAAATAACCCAGAGGTACTACCTAAAGAAACAAATGAAATTACAATCATGATTTTTCATTATAAATAACTATATAGATAAAATTACTGAACTGCTAATAGAAACCCGCATTGTATACAATTCATGCATTAAAACAGTCCCCTTATAAGAAGTTTCTCGGTTCTTTGGGTGTGCCATATTTACAGTTCAGTGTACCAAGTACAAAATACATACAATATCTGAATAAACAATTTCGACTAATCAATAAAAAGATTGTTACCCCTACTACAGTAGAAATGTAGATCAAGATTAAATTAGGTGAAGAACCAACAAAATACTTTGTTCATCAAAAATGAAATATATTTTTTCTACAAAGAATCACGAAAAAAAAACCAAAATTTAAATACTTGTAAAAACACTTCAACACTTCAACCAGTGCTACACTGTATAACAGGTTTAAAATATTATAAGATCATACAAGTTATTTTGTAGTTTTCTAATATCTTGATACGACTAGTATGTAACCACTATTAGGTAGTTTTGTTAACTTAATAGTACAGTAGTAATGTCAAGTGGTTCTCCCTTCTACATTTAGTAAAACTTTTAAACTTATTTACCCATTATATTAATAGGTATACAGATTGTACATTATTTAACTTCTATATTTTTTATAGGTAGAAGAAAAAATAGCAGACACAAGCTCTACAGTTTTATTTTCGTGTTTTTTTTTGTTAATTTACCTACCCTAACATAATATGCAAAAATTACCTAGTATGTACAATTACAAAGTGGGACTAGTATTACCTAAGTTTAAAGTTATCTATAGACAAATTATATTATGGCTATGGTTAGAAGTTACCTCAGATATTTATATACTATATTAAATGGCACCAATAAATGTTAATGTGGATGTTGTTCTAAGAACCATTTCCAGACCTACTGGCTACTACACATTTGTAGCCCACAATATTTAGAATTTCCCTAAGCAGTACCTTACATGATACAAAATGTATTCTAAACCTAGCCAATGTTTAAAAGTTGTATTTCTTCCAATAATTAATACAAATAAGGATGTTAGGAAAAAAAATAATTATCTCTCAAATCTATGAAATTGACCAGTAAAAAATATAATAATAATTCATACTTCTTCTGGAGGGCCTTGTTCTGCAAACCTATTGAAACCACCTCTTCCACCACCACGGCCTCCACCGCCACCACGGAAATTACCACCTCCGCCTCCTCGGCCACCTCCATCACCTGCAATTACAAAATAATGTTTTATACTTTTATCGTCATTAATTAATACAATCATTATTCAACATGCATAGTAGAAATCAATAATAATGAATAGGTATGCCTACTTAGAAAAATATTTAATTTGAAACAAATATTAAACCGAAAACAAGTATGATTAATTTACAAATCTTGTAAGCCATTGAAATGGTTTTCAAGATTAAGTTAATAATTATGGAATCGCGATGCACATGATCCACATAAAATAGTATATCCGTACTTAAAACAATATTATATGATTTACCTCGGCCTCCTCGAAAACCACCGCCTCCTCTACCGCCACCGCCTCCACGGCCAAAGCTATTTCTGTCATTGTTGTAAGACATTATTGTTGTCGGAATCAAAATTTTTGAAAAAAAAGTCACGTGTTTGTGTTTGTCGTTGTTTGGGCCGGTTAGGCAAACATTGAAATTTGAAACGACTACAAACAACAAACGTGCTACTTATCAACAACTGTTATATCACGACTTTGATGATAACCACGATTAAAGATAGTGTGGTTGCGTGACGACGTATGATAATGTATAGGCTGAAGCGGCCACGATAGTGCTTACAGTTAATCTGACTGCTTGGTGGCGCTGTCTACTGATCAATAAATTCACAAGAATTAATATATGTGGTTTTGACTGCAATCATAGATAGCATGGCGGTAGACCACAGTGTAATTGTGTGTAAATATATTATTATATTTATTAATTTAGGTATCGTACGATCGGGATTCAGGAATTTGTTTTTTTTATCGTCTGTGATTTACTACAGTATTTTACACACTGACATAACATCTCGTTCTAATATACTATATAAAAAATTGTGAATTATTCTTTTAATTAAAAGTTACAACTAGCCCAAAAATGTCTTGTTGCATTCGCTCACCACATTCTGTTGCAAACACCACTTTTGAAGTACCGAAGAATGAGTTGGAAAAATATAAATGGGAGGAGGCTTTAGGCAATAGGCATGAAATTAAAAAAAAGCCATCGCGTATGTGCTTCTCATTTTAATGAATGCGACATAATAAGCTGTTGGAATTCTGGTTTGAATCATTATTCGGTATGTAGGTACGTACTTAAAAAGATACAGAGAACATTAAAAACAATGTAAAGCAAATCTGCAAAATTAATATACCTATTTTATACCTGAAAACATAGGCATGCGCACAGGGTATGCAGGGTATGCCGCTGCATAGTCTGCGGCTTTATGTGAGGGGCCCATATATAATATAGGTACCAAAGCATTTTTGATATCTTCTATAATATAAAAAAAAATAATAAAAATTTAGGTTTCACTTTTCTCGAGACTCGCAAGATAATCTAAACTATTAATATACTAAAGCGTAACACGTAGATATAGTTATCTATGTTGCAAGAATAGAATAGGTACCTAATTATTATTGTTTTTATAGTTTGTAATCAAAGACAATATTATTATTATAACTGAGTCCGGTACTATGTCACAAGAACGTCTTGATTCACCGATGTTAATTTTTATCAAGAAAAAAATGGCATCAGAAATCAATATTGAAGAAGTAATAGATGAATTCAAAACATGTGTGCCGATAAAAAGAAGACTTGAACTTTAGAGTTTAGATTTTAAGTAGGTACCTTCCATGAAATAACAACATTATTAATGTGTTAAAGTTATTCAAAAACATTCATACTAGTATATATTTGATCAAATTTTCTTTAAATAAATATAATTCAAATTTCAAACTACTTATTTCTACAGCGCGTTGTTTAATATTCTACTGTAAAACTATGTGTGATTTCAGATTCCGAGGGAAGCAAAAAAGCTAAGTAGTATATTTGCAAAAACTTAGATTGTAAATTGAATCCTATACGTGTTAAAAAAAATGTTTAACGGCTTAGAATTGTTTTTTAGAATAAATAAAAGGAAAGATTAGAATTTGTGAGGGGGCCCTATTTTCCTTATTGCATAACCTGCGAATAAAGTCTGCGCACGCCTATGCGGCTATGCCTGAAAAAACAATGAATGTTTGTCAAAATAAAATGTTTACAGGTATGTTATCAAAGGAAGCGGTTAAAGAAAGGTGCGATATGTAACTGTAAAATGTGTTGACTTTTTAATTTATTTTTTCCAATGTTAATATCAAAAAAATTAAAAAAGCTAATATCGACGTATGACAGTATGAGACAATGAATTAGTAATTACATATCTAGTGGTTATATACTTATATGTAAAAACTCGTCTTTTCTACATTTAACTACTAGATAGCAGCACTAGGCAGTCAGTTTAGACTTAAGCACTTCTATCGCCGCATTTTTGGTCGTCGTCACGCAACCATACTATCTTTAATCGTGATGATAACCATCCGTGATGATAACACAAGAGGAACAACCAGACATCGAGGATCTTGACAGCCAATGACAATCCATTGGTAATAACCACGGACTATATATTTTTATATACCATTATAATATACTGATATCTAGTTCATGAATCATGATACGAATTACTTATTTACTTGATGATTGTATTTATTATCAAATATTCAACTTACAAACTTTGAACGCAATTATAATTAAATATTAAATAATAATTAATATTCATCAATCAAATATAATTAGTATCTAGTAGGTAACTATTAACTATTTTAATTTAAAATTTGTCTCAGAACTGTAATACATTATAATATTTTACTTAGTGTTAATTGACAAATGATAATTTTTATTGTACAATAAATTATCTAATATAATATATCGCAAACAAAAAAATATTTATTAACAATAGTTTCAATTTGTATAGTTACCAATAAGTATCAATTTTAAGTCACTCGAAGATAGTGGAAGAAAAAGTCTTTTTTCTTCTGACTTACAATTCAAGTCTTAAATTGTTTGCCATGGATCAAGAAGATTTTACAGATCCACGAAAAATTAACTTTCAAAACAACCGGGTAATGATTATATTATTATAACTTATAATCTGTTATGTACAATTAATAAGTAGTACCTAACCACATTCATTTCTGGCATGTTGTAATAAAATAAGTATTTATAATTTGAATACAATTTAAATTTAAACTCTGTAATTACCTAATAGTAATAATATCAAAATATTATGTACTATTAGTACATAATATTTCACTAAATTTTAATTTTTGCTCGACATATGGTTAGAATATAGATGTATTATCCCACCAAAAACATATATGTAAAATGAGAGCCAAGTTCAATACTATAATATATGCCTTGGTTGTTGACTTCAACGACAAAAGAAGTGAGATCTAAATGGGTGCCAAGTTAGGATAATATATTGAAGCCTAAGGTGTGACTTGGCTACTTTTCATATACGAATTATTATTATAAGTACCTACTAAAACAGTAATGGAAGAGTGAAGATGATTTTCCGATGAATAAAATAAGAACTCAAAGCTTTAGAACTTGCAAATGCTATAATATATAATTCATAGCCAAGTCAGACCTATAGGCTTCAATATATTATCCTAACTTGGCACCCATTTAGATCTCACTTCTTTTGTCGTTGAAGTCAACAACCAAGGCATATATTATAGTATTGAACTTGGCTCTCATTTTACATATATGTTTTTGGTGGGATATCATTACTTTTTGTATGTAAATTATTATAACCTAACCTAACCTAGCCATGACGTATTCTATAAATAAAGTTTATTACTATATAATATAATTCAGTTACTAATATTAATAATAATATTTATTATAAAATATTTTCCGTTGTATATACAGAGTATAAAATATATGTAAAATTAAATTAATATACAATTATTTTAACTCTTTTTGAGTATATTTTTAATTATCATAATTTTATTGACTGTAGTTTCTATTGTTGGGTGGATAATTAAATTAGAGGCAATTCATTAATAAATTGAAAAATTAAACATAATAGATAAAATAATTGCAAAATTATAATAAAATCAATTGATTAAAAATTTAAAAATTAAAAATTAAAAAATTTTAAATTAAAAATTTTCAAGTTTCTGATTTTTTCCTTTGTATTTACCTAACTACCTATCTGTATGCCAAATTTGAACTTTCTAGGTCATCTGGAACTGGGTTAGAATTTTGATCTATAGGTAAGTCAGTGATAAAAATGACGATTTTCGGACGTTAATATCTAAATAACGGTTTGAAGTGTGTTTATGAAATTTAGAGCACATATGTATCTCGTTAGTCTCAATATATGAGCCAAATTTGACATGTTTATGTGGAATAGTTTTTGAGTTATGAGGGGGTCAAAAGTGGCTCCAAATGGTTCGTGTAATATTACACACGGTGCTGCTCGCTAGTTCTGTTAGCTAGAACTTGGCTTGACACGCTACCGCGTGTCTAGATACAGGTATACATGTAGTTACTATACTTAACTATTTTAATATGGGTACCTATAGGTATTAGAAAAAGAATTATTATACCTTGTTAATTTTCCAAGTTTCATTAAACAATATTTTTATACCTAATTAAATTAGTTTTTAGTTTATAAGTTAGGTCTTACAATATTTGTGTAATTCAACCACCATTCCCCATTGTAGGTACCTATTCATTTTTTTTTAAATTAAAAAAGAAAAATTACCACCTACCTAAATTTTCTGAAATTATTTTATAGGTGTTTAGCTGAATAAAATATATTGGTTGGGGACAGGGTGTGCATTGATACTATGGCCTTGCCGCCTTGGCCTTCAGTTTTCCAATCTTTAATTGTGTACGCGTACTTTCCCTTTTGTTTGAAATCCTAATTTCCAATATAGGTAACTATATCAAATTTATGTGTTCAAAAATTTAAAAATAATAAAAGGTATCTCGTACAGTCGTACCTAAATAAAATATAATTTATATGTTATGTAAGAAAGCAAAGAATAATTTTGATAATAAAAATTCTATAGTGAAAACCTGAGAAAAGTTTTTTAAACAATTGGCCTGGTGGTTGGAAAATTGGCCTCTTTTATTGTCTGCACACCCTTAAAAAACACTGAAATGGCGCCCCTGGCCACTTGGGCAACCACAAAATGTGACAAAGAAAAGATTCGAAAGAAAGATACTAAGGAAAGTACATGGCCCAATTTTAATCCCGAAGAGCAAAAATAGGAAATAAGATCAAATAATCAATGAAGTATATTTCATAAATTAGAAAATGTGGTTCAGTTCATTAAGAGCAAAATTCTATAATGGATGGGACACGTTTGGCAAGCAGATAGTAGACTAATGAATAGAATCATAAGCCAAGAAATGGAAGGGACAAAACCGTGCCTAACCATGATGGAATTTAAGCAGTCACGAGAAGTTGATTTGGACATATCAAAGAACAGAGAAAAATTGGAAGACTTACAATAAATTGTTAAGAGGATGTCGCACCCGTTTATGTTGTCTCCATCTTACATATGTATAGCATAGCAAATTTTCATTCACCAATTTCAATAGTGTGCTGTTAGTTAAGACTTAAGATATTATAGTTAATCAACCTATTATCAAACTTTTAGGTAAGAACATTATTTGTGTTCTTTCTTTGGTTTTTTACAATATTTTAATTTTTAAGTGTGTTATGAGTATGTAAAATATTAATATTTGAAAATGTTCATAATTCACTTAAAAAATTAAAATATCATAAAAAGCCAACGAATAAACACAGATAATGTTCTTACGTAAAAGTTTGATAATAGGTGGAGGTCTTGAGAGTGGCAGGCATGCAACGGAGTACCGAAGGTCAATTCACTCTTATATCTAAACTAACAGCACACTTTTGAACCTAGTTATCAAAAATTTGAAATGTCGTATGTGTGTAAGACAGAGAATACATATGTGTGTGCTATGTCCCCTTAACTTAGATTTTAACACCTTGAGTAAAATTAATATTCTTTGACAAATCTTAGTATAGACTAAATTGTTAATAATTTATCATCCTTTTTTAACATTAAAATTATGAAACATAATATTATTATTAAATTATAATAAATCCGATTATCCAAAGCAAACTAGATTCCCTAATTCAAAACATACAAGTTGTGTTCTTTTTCAATTGTTTTATAATCGATGTTTAGTTATTAAATGTGTTTTTCCATTTGATTTTTATTTCTGTAAATTACTTAAGAGAGCGCTACACCCACATGCTTTCTCTCTGTCTTACAAACGCATAACATAGCAAATTGCACGCTCAGCAGATCACGTTTAGCTCTGTAAGTTTAAAAATTAGAGTGAATTGGCCTCTTTTAAAATTTAGAAGTAAAATTACTATCTAATGGAACTCATAGGTTTTTTTATTTTTTGAATTTTAAAGCAAGTTGTATTATAAAATACACAAACAATTTACAATTTTATAATACTCATAACATGCTTTAAAATTCAAAAAATAAAAAAACCTATGAGATTCACTAGTATTCTTACTTCTAAATTTTATAAGAGGTCAATTCACTTTAAGTTATACACTAACTGCTAAACATACAATTTGTTATGTTATGCGTTTGTAAGACAGATAGGATCTATGTGGGCTTAACGCACTCTTAAGTTAAAAATTATGGAATTATGAGCTATTGATTTTCTAAAACAATGATAACAATATACCAACATAATAGTAAAACCTAAAAGTGAGCCTCCTTACACTTGAAAGGGTTCATACATACACTGGTTATAAGTTACTCTATGAAACCTTTTAGTTTCACCACTGATCAAATTACTTGGACACTATATTTTAATGTAACTTTAGGCTGACGTTTTAATGGAATTCCTCAAATTACACTTTTTTACACCAGATCGATGTAAATTTTCATATGCATTGACTGTCACGACGGTGCATGAAACTAAAGTTCTATCAAGTAGTAAGAATAAAAAGATTTAAAGATGTCTTGTTAGTGAAAATTGGGTTTTCCTTATAATACTCAGGTGGAGGTGTTCATGATGAAAGATCTAATGAAGACGAATCATACAAATATTCCCATCTATATTATGCTGTTAATAGGGATTCCACCAAGTCCAAATCTCAGGTAACATGAGTAATAAATACATTATCTATATATTGAAGAATTAAGATACCTACATTAGTTATATATATTAATACAATTGTATATTGCCAATTACCAAAACTATTTTCCTATTAATGTACATTTAATTTGTAGTCTTCTACTGCTGAATTCATATATTTTTTCCGTGAGTATTTATCCATAAAAATTGGTGATTGTTTTATTTTGAATATATTAGGAGTTAAAATGACCTTTTTTTTCTTATTTAATATGCTACTGACAATTACAATATATTGTAGTATTACATTAATGTGGTAGGTGATTTAATAGTTTGTTTTTCCTATACCTATATAATCATTGATTAATAATGTATTTATTTACTTGTCCAGTTCCCTAACCTTATAAACGTTTTATATTGATTGTCAATATTACCTTTCTACTAAAATAAGTAGATATATGAATAGACGAATAGTAATATAAAATCAATTTTGTAAACCTGATATTAAATATTTATAAGACACCCAATGTATGTAATATTCATACAAAACTAAATTAAAATTAATGCAGTTCTAATATTCTAATTGTGATTGTGTTTCAGTTGTGTTATGTTGGCCAAGATGTTACGAGTATTCCAGAAATACTGGGTAAAATGTATGGATCCAAAGTCAGGTCTTTGGATCTAAGCTTCAATAGTTTGACTACTCTAAATCATTCAGAACTATTTCCTGATTTAGAAGAGCTTGTTTTAGATAACAATAATCTAGATGATACTATTAAATTACCTTATTTACCACATTTACATATACTCTCAATGAATAATAATAAAGTAATATAGCAATTATTATATAATATACATTGTGTATACTCAAGTATTAAAATTGAAATTATTATGCTTGCTTAGATCACGGATTTAGAAAACTTGGTCACCCAAATAAAATATAGTATGCCTTCTTTAAGATTTCTCAGTTTGATTGGAAACAAAGCTTGCCCAACACAGCTAATAGATTTTGAAAAAGACGAAAACGATTATAAAAGATATAGGTTATTAAAATACTTTATTAGTCATTATAAAATAAATAATAGGTTGATCAATAATTTGTTATAGTGATTATATATTTTTGTTTTAGGTATTTTGTTTTACATTATTTACCAGAACTGAGATTTCTTGATTCAAGACCAGTTACTAATGAAGAATTAGATACTGCAATAACTAAAGGCGAATTCACCAAAATCATACGCCCCGTAAGTGTGGTAGATAAAGAAATACTCATAGTAATTGCAAATTTTACATTTTGATCTCATAGGTACATATTAATATTTTATGATTAAGAGGACGCTACATGGACATTTATTGTCTTTGTCTTACAAGTGCATATCATAGCAAATTTACGCTCAGCAGATAACGTTTAGCTCAATTTAAAAATTAGAGTGAATCATCCTTTTATGAAACTTGGTAGTAAGAAGATTAACTGTGTTCGTATGTTGGCTTTTTACATTGGTACAATTTTTTAGCAAGTTACGCGTATATAATGTAGCGTAAATTAAAAATGTTTATAACTCACTTCAAAACCTTATAATCATAAAAAACCAACATACGAACCCAGATGATGTTCTCACCATCAAGTTTCATAATAGGTTAATTCTAATTTTAAAAACTAACAGAGCTAAACGTTATCTGATGAGGGTACATTTGCTATGTTACTTACTTGTAAGACCGAGACAACAAATATCTGTGTGGCATCCTCTTAATATAATGAATATATAGAAAACATCCGTCATTAGATTTTCAAATTGCTTATATTATGTAGAAACTAGCTGTATTCCTGGCAAAGATATGTTTTTTTTTTTTTAAATGTATATGCAATATTAATAACTGATTGAACGCTTTTTTTGCTGTTGTATATTCGGTATTTTTTTTTAATGTAAAATGTGTGAAATCAAAAACCGGGTTTGAGTGTCTAGCAAGACAGCTTGTCAGCTCAAATGATAAACGATTTATGTACAATTTAGTTAATTTAGGCAATCCATGGACAATATACAAGCAGTTTTCCTATCAGTTAGGGTATGAATGTACGATGATGAGCTATAATAAGTACAACCACCTGTGTATCCAATATATGCCATCTATGTCCATTTAGAAGAAAGACCACCAATGTAAAAATCTTTATACATTACCCAATCAGTAATCACCGAGTTAACTACTCTTATTTGAATATCTTGATGATTTACTTGCGCTCCAAATAAATCATATGTCACGGAATGAAATAAGCAATTTTTAAGAGTTTTACATTAGTATTCAGTTTTATATCTAGAGTATTAGAATTTAAAGGAACCACAATTCCAAATTTCAAGTTAGTGAAAAGTTAAGTAAATGCGTTAAAACCGAGGAATTTTATATTATTTTACCGGACAGATGGCATCACTGTTGTATTCCTACAACCCCTTATTTTCCTTTTTAGGGATTGAATTTCCAAAAATCCTTTCTTAGCCGATGCTTATGTAGTTACCTTATACCTATCTGTAAGCCAAATTTTAGCCTAATCCGTCTTGTGGTTTGGGCTATGCATAGATAGATTAGTCAGCCAGTCACCTTATCCTTTTATGTATAAAGAGATTATTACCTATATGCATATCCCATTAAGTAATATAAAGCTGGTGTTTTCAATATTAAAGGTGATCAATTTAATTATCATGTGTCACAATTTAAGAATCTTAACTATAAAATTTATGATAAAGAACTTAAAAATGTTGTAATATAACATATTAATATATTATTTTATTTAATTTTTAGCAGTTTGGAAATGAACCACTTCGATTTGATTGGAAATTATCTCTTGGATCTCAATCTCGTGCAGATACTTCAAATATTTTCACCCCACTTGCTGTATCACCAACACAAGAAATACATCGTCAAGGTATTTTTACTAACAACATTTCTATGCTTCATATATTTATTTAAAGTTACAATTTATTTAATATTATTTACACTTTAATTAGCTGCATATGGCCGACGTCGATACCGTTATGCTGGAAAACATTCAGAAGGCAACCGTTTTATTTTAAATAGAGATTTATAAACATTGATATTATAACATTATAATTATTACAACTTACAAGATTAATGATATAATAAACATTAACATAAATAATATTAAGTTATTGACTTTCAAGACATTTATAACCCCCTAATAATTATTATATTTCTACAGGACTATCTGTTTGCTGTCCCATTAGAGTTAGTTAATAATAGTTTATATAAAACGTTAGTGAACTAAAAATCAAATTTATTAGAACTGCAAAAACCGAATTATACTTTGTTTATAGTTTATATTATGTTACATATAATAATTTTAATAGTAAATAGTGGTTATTTTTATCTTTTATAATATATTTTTACACTAAGAATTATACATGTAATTGATCTGTAATGTTTTTATTTAAATATATATAATAAAATATCTTAATTTTAGAAGTAGCAATGAATTTATTATTTTTACACTGATGTGTGTGTGTGTCTGTCATCATATCTATTATCTAGGGAGCAGAAAAATGAATCATTTAGTCCTTTAATCATTATTAAAATTTAATGATTTCTGGTAGAAAATTGAATCTAGTTGGTACTTTGGGAAAATTACTTACAAGTTACAGTTCAATTCTTAAACTTGTTGCTTTATCAAATCCTTCAGAGATTATACAATTAAACAGAAATACACGGGTCACCAATTCACCATATTTTATATTTGTTCATTTTTGGCTGGTCGAAGTTCAGTTGGGTAACACAGCTACCTAATTGTATATGAAAAAAGAACGAAAAAACTGAGATGTTTAGGTAATCTAACATTAAGCATAAATTGATTGTGAATTAAACTAGCAAGTGGTATTATTCGAGAGTATGAACAATGTTCATGAAATTTTAGAAAATTAATAATTAAAAGTAATTATAACTATTACTTATTACTGATTGTGATCACACAAAATTAAAACTAATACCTGGTAGGTAGTTTGTTAGTTTCTAAATTTCTAACATTAGGAGACGACAACATTTTTTATTGGGATCTACAAATATTTTACAGGGTGATTCTCCAATCATGCTCACCCTCATTTTTCCTTTTATCATTAATTTATTCTAATTCTTATTTTAGAATTTTTAAATATAGGTACCTACTTAAAGATCATACTTTTTAATTCTTGGGATTTTTTGTATTATTTCTAAAGCGTTGTGTGGCAATACAAACTTCTGTTTTTTAAATGAGAACCGTTTTTTTTACAAAAATGTAAATTAGATGTGATATTGGATATTGGATATTTCTTATTTGAAAAATAGATGTTTGAATTACTGCAGAACAGTTTTCATATTATTCTTTCGCGTTTTGTTTGAGGGATTTGCCGCCACAGAACATGCTTTAATAGTAGCAAAAAATGTGTCAAGAATTTGAAAATATGGTCTTAGATATGAAAATTCCAAAAATCAGATTTTGGATAATTTGGCAATTAAGAAAAAAAGGGGACTGAGCGTGCTAAGTGAAATATCTTGTGTGCCTATACAAAATTTTTACGAATCAAATCTTGTACACTAATTATTTTAAATGTATCTTGAATTCTTGAAATCTACAATGGGTACAAAGCTTAGATAATTAGATCGATTAAATTTGTACTATTGTACCTGGTCATCTGGATATAAACACTCATAATTAATAATACTATATGAAATATAATATTATAGGTAATATTTATTCTTAAATCATATTTTAATTACCATGTCCAAGGTTTATGTATCGTATTTCCGGTCACTTGTCAACAATTTAATTAAGAACTCTGATTAGAGCGCCTTTGTTGGCAGGGAAAACTAGGACACACAGTCAAATGCCAGTTAGTTGCCCAAACACACTTAGGTATAGTATATGCACATTTTCGGAGTAGCATGACAATTTATTATTAATGGCTCAGTTGTTGAATATTTCGTTTAAGAAGAACGACCTTTACTCTTCGTGGGGTTTTCAAGTATGTGGTGGAAGAGACAGTTGGCGTCCACTGACCGTGAGAAATGTGAGTAAAATTATTCCTTTTTGATTTTAAAATAAAATAAAAAATGTTTTAAAAACATTGTTTAGGTCCAAAATGGCACTTTAGCGTACAACTATTTAAATGTCGGTGATCGTGTCTTAGAGATCGATGGCATAGACTGTTATTCGTTAACCGAGTCACAGGCAATTAGTTTCCTCCGGAGGCCGAGTAATTCGATTGAACTTTTAATACTAAAACGACGGGGTGAAAACGTCGTACCGCCCAAAAGGTCATCGAGCTGTAAAGCTTTACAACATTTTGTCTTTCCAAAACATAATAGTATATCAGAACCTAGTTCTCCGCGCCACCAAATTATCAATAATAATGTAGAAATCTCACGTAATCCAGGAAACGAATTGCGTGAACTCGAAGATTCGGAAGAAAACCTAAAACGATGTTTTGAAGAACCTAACAAAGAATTTGTCTCGTCACCCATAAAGAATGACAATGAGGTATTACAGTTTTCCAATTTCAAACCTCGAAGGAATTCGTTACAAAAAGACAGTGAACCGCCGGTGTGTCTCAGAAGTCGGTCGAGTTCGCCGCAATTCTGGAAAACAAATGTGGAAACTTCGGTCACTGGACCATCTAGTGATTGTAAAAGTTTTTGGAAAAAATTAGAAAAATGCTCAATGGAAGACTTGAGTGCCCGTCGCACTCCAAGTCCAGTAAGACCAGCAAGTGTGGCATTCTATCCCAAAACACCCGAACCTATTCAGTCAAAAGATGAGATAGTTTCGCCAAAGAAAAAGGTAATTTATATGAATTAAATCCTATCATATTTTTAACTATGTAAATATTATAATTAATTGTATTTAAAATATTGATTATATATTTACAATATAGGTGACTTTCAGCAATGTATTGTTGGAGAGAAATTATTTGCAAATGGATTTACCAGATTTATCTCCTGGGTCGAGAGTCGACGAAGAATTCAATAAAATATACAACAGTTCCCGTCAAGAAGAACAGTAAGTTTTATTTCAAATCAATACCTAACTTTAAACATTATACCTAAAATCTATATAGTGCCTATAACCATATGGATATACACATACAACATATGTAGCTTATATGCATGTAGTAGCATGTATATAAAATATAAATTTAAGAAAGGGAAAATATATTAATATAGAAATAGAAATATATTTTTTTGTAGGTCTTATACTATTAGACCATAGTTCAAAGCAATAATTTATAATTATTTTTTATGACGCGTCGTTATTTTTTTCCATTTTATTTTTCTATGAAATACTTTTAATATAAGAAATCGCAGTTTTAATCTTTTCCTAGGTAGTATAATAATCTTTTTTGGAACGTAATGATTAATAATTTTTTTTTAATTGATAATCAAAACATAATTTTATTCTGTATTCTAACTTGCTTTTCTACTCCATGTTGAACATGTTTGTTTAATTTTTTATTCAATAAAGGACCATTTTTAAACATAACTCAGATACATTTTAAACTAGTATATTGGTATACAAAAATACAGCTATTTATTTACATAGGTACCTACTGTGAAGTTCTCGGTAGATATACATATTTAATTTGTCATTTTGAAATAGAATATAAAATTATGTACTTAAGTAATTGTGAAAAAATATATATTAAACTAATATTTATTTTATAAAAATTAAAATTTCATAACATTTTTATATTTTAATTTTTGGTATAAAATTTGTTATAAACAAATTGACTTGTGTCTGTTGTCCGAAAATAGCGTTGCAAAAACTACGTATCAGGGCCAAAATGAATATGTTAAAAATAACGCTTTTAATACACAACCGCCTGGTAGTGGAAATGGTAGTGGTGGTGGTGGTCCATTTTGGCTATCTTCAATGTCCAGTTGCAAGATTAGTCATTTTTATTAAAAAAAAAAAAAAAAAATGAGAAGAAAGAATATGTTCAGTGTTAATTTAGTTTAAATTTGTTTCTCCTATTAGACATGAGTTTAGGAGTCTCCGTTCCCTGGAGGTATATATAATTTTTTATTTTTAATTGTTTATTCTTTATTTAATCAATATTAAATTAAAATTATAATTTTTACTAATAATAACATATTCTTAACGAAATTTTGTGCGATCGCTATGGATTAAATTTAAGTTAAACTCTACTATAGGTAATGCTGTATACATAAGGAACGTCGTGTGTGTACGTACACATACATGATACATCTACGATATCTTATGCTATACAAGTGTTCAAGTTTGTTGTTTTATAATTCATATATAGTACATAATAATGAAACAAGTAATAAGTATGTGTTGTGTTTGTTGTTAATTACTAATACGATAGGTACGAATGTAGGATATGCCACACACACGTGATTTTGCTCAAGCACCTAATTTTAATATTTAAATAATTAAATCGATACATTTTATATAAAATATATTACTAATACGATACTATTCTTAATTTAATCGTTTATTAGCATATTTAGTTTTTGGATGGATATTATAATATTGTGTGTATACTTTAATAATTCAATCATGGTGTATCTATGAATTGTAATTGTGATAGTTCAGTTCTATTTTTACAATATACTTTGTTCACATCACGTGTGAGGTTGTGCCAAGTTTATATTTTATTTCATCTACATTTAAGTTTTTAAATCTGACGCTATTAACAAAAATTGATATTTAAAATAGTTGTACAAAAACTATGAGCAGGATACTACATTACTACGGGATGGGAATAAAAATTAAAATGAAGATCTAAATGATAATTAGAAAAGAGTCAGTATATAATATAAGTTATATAATATACCTAATATTAAATTGTTGAAATATTAGCAGATTAGTTTGTATTTATTTGTATATTTGCAGTAGGTATGCATTAATAAATAATAATACGCATTTTGAAATTTAAAATTAATAATTCAAATTTGGAATATTAATCTATAAACATTATAAATATTCAGATGGAAATATCAAATATTGAATTATAATAACAATAAATTATTTATTTATTTACTCGTTAATCGTTAAAAAAATTAATTGAATATGACGTATTTTTTTGTTTTACGTGTGCGTAATATATAATAATTATTAATTAGTAAGAAATAAGTATTATTCTAATCAGAAGCATGGCCAAAAAACTTTTGTAGAATTGCATAGATACAATTAAAATATTATAGATACCCAAACCTATAGCTGGTGTCCATTGTTCAGATACTAAGGTCTGTAGTACATAATAAGGTATCTAAAGTACCGATGTATATTTTATGAAAACATTTAAAATTAAGTATTAAGTAGGTATATTAATGTAATTACCAAATGACATAAAATAAACATTGAATATTGGTATTTTTATTAATAAAACTTAATGTCTTTAAACAAAAAAACACAGTATTATCTACACGTATAAAAATATATACATAATATACCTATTATACAAACACGCTTTTGATTGTAATAACTAATAACTAATAAATACAATAATACAAATGATCTCGGGAAACAAATAGGTAAAGAAAGTGGTTTTTTGTATCTTAGTGAATAATTATTATTAATTTAAATTGTGCAGAAGCAATTTATTCCCTATTCATTTTTTTTCCAAATAATTGAATAATATTCTATACTCGTCAAACAATTGTTATACTAAGAATTTGATTATTTTCTGTAAATACATTTAAATCTGATTATAATAATTAATATTACATATTATTATATAATATATTTAGATGAATTAAATAGATTTTCAGACCTTACCGATTCTATATTACACTATGTTTTAAATATGATGCAAACTGTTGGGATTTTATTCGGGTTTTTTTTGTATTATGGTAAAGTAGGTATTAACAAAAAAAATCCTACAAAATTATTACTTTCAAACCGTTGTACAATGTACTTATCTATATTGCAGTAAACAAAGATTATTATGATTTATGACACACATAAGCCGTGATAGCCAGGGGCGTAATTATAATTTTCACGAGATGGGTAGTATGGAAATTTTTTGGTGGCCCACTTTATATTAAATTAACAAAAATTAACGAATCCAACTATAGAAAATTGCATATTTTTTAAGTTAAAAATATAAAATTTTAATTTATTTTTTCGAAGGAAAAGTTTTTCAATAACCTCATCTATAGATCCTTATTTCTTTTTCTCGGTACCATAATATCAACCCATGCCGACCAATGGGTGAAATGCATTTAGTTTTTATAAATATACTTTTACAAATTAATAAAATAATGTATTGTATTATGTTGATTTAAGTTATTTGGGCGTATAATAGTAAAAATAAAAATATCGTCAATCTTATATTACTATAGTTGTAGCTATTCAATTTTAAAACCAGTATTGAGATTTAAGAATACAACCTATAAGTTATAACGAATTTAATATTAGAATTAGAATTACATTAATAGAGGATAGAGAATCGATAGAAGTTGTGACACGAATAGGTAAAAGACAATTATTTATTATCAAATTAAGGAAATATCCGAGTATCAAGATACACCACCACAGTTGGAGTGGGTAGGTAGGTACTCGAATGAGTACAGTGATCGATTTTTTTTTAACCATGCAGAACTGAGTTAAAAGAATTGATTCATATGTTCGGGTTATTGTTACCGCTAATCATAATATCATTATAATAATATAATGTATACAAAATATATAAATAGTACAAAATCCAACTGTTGCATTCGTCCGTGTCGTATAGGTATCAGGATCACAAATTAATGATTATTGATGATATTTGATAAAAATTAATTATTACGTGTTTCGGAACTATTGTATGTTTTTTCTTATTTAAGTTTTCTTAATTACTAACATTAAGCTGTACAGTATATACGTTATACTTAACACGGAAGTACACATTATAGGTAGGTACCACTGTAGATTATAGCCTGTGGTATTCAACTACAATGTTTATTATATTAATATACTATAACTCTGTAACATAGTATAGCCTACGTAGCCATGTAGGTACTTATAGGTACTGTGAATACTGCAAAAAAGTTGTAACTTTAATTGTAATAGGTTACTTTTCAACTCGAAATTAATAAAACTAAATAAAAAAAATATTCGTTGAACGTTTAAAGTATCTTAAGTATCTATAGTTAATCGTTTTTGAATTGCAAAAAAGTAAGAAATTCGATCGATGAGAAATCATTAATTTACTGGTGAATATAATATATTATAATGTCGCCAAATGTCGTGACTATTTGCGGTAAACTTTTTTTGTGAAAAGTAGAAAAAATTATGTGGAATCTTGTAAGTATTCAATATCAAATCTCAGATGAAAAATAAAATTTTTTATGAATTTCTAACTCAAAATTGTTAATAATATCTTATAAAAAATTATAGAAAAAATAACATCAAGTGTCTTTAAATAACTTAAAAAGAGTCAATGTATTTTGAAAATGTTGTCTTGAATAAAAAATGATCTTCAAACATTTTGTGAAAATATAAAGTACCTGTCTACGGTTATTTGTTTTTGAGTTACCTACTAAAAAAAAAAATCGATTTATTTATAAGCTGGGTTTTCGTAAAAATTGGAAGCCAAACTTATAAATTGTAAAAACTCTTAACTCGCTTCAAAGATTAAAATATTGTAAAAAATACAAACCATGCAGAAAACACAAATAATGTTCTTACTTTTAAGATTGATAATAGCCTTAGGTATCCATAATCCATTATAATATTGTAAGCTAATAACATAACTTTTGAACGGTCAAACGTAAATTTGTTATTCATGTTAGCATAGGCGCAATTAGGGGGGTGCTTGGAGGTGCTTCAGTACCCCCAAACTTTAAGCCAGCACCCCCAGTTCAAAAACACCAAAAATTGAAAAATCATATGAAAAAAATAGTTTTTTTTAGCTTTACGTCAGGTTTATTTAATTTCTTCGTTTTTAGCAGAAACACAAATTATTGTTTGTAATGATTATAGGTATATCAAATATTAGAATTTAGAATTTATCAAAATTTCGAAAATGTTCAAAAAAATGTTCAGTTAGAAAAT